ATAATAGTAAATCCGATATATGTATATAAGTGTTTCGATATTTTATGGCTGTTTGTACATGTATCCTTGGCAAAAATGTTGTATATTTAACATAATTAGCAAGTTTAAATTAAATAAAGTCTGCGCTAATTTTTTTTGTTATGAAGTACAAACTACTGACGCATTTCCTGGGTGTTGTGAATTAGGTTGAACAATAAACATCGGGGAAATTTTTTGAAACATTTCCTCAAGAAACGTAGTTACTTGTGACAAAATCTCAATTATGGAACGGTGGCAATACAAAAATAGTAGAACAATAAACAATACTAAAGTGACGATATACTATAAGATATTAAGGGCTAAATTCATCGAGTTCAAATCTATTCCAGCGACACGAACCATCCGGAATCTGCTCAGACATAATAAACGAGATAAAATCGAAACAAATTACATAAGCCCGACATCTCAATTTTTTTCGGCAATGGCTCTTACCGTAATTCAATTTGATGAGTATTCTCTTCATCTCACAGAACAAATATAACTAACCAATACTCACCTTTATAAGTAGGGTCAATGGGTTTCTATGGCTCTGAATCGAATATGGCGAACTTGCCGGTAAACTCGTGATGCAACACGTTCTATTACTCCAAAGAACTGGCTTAAAACCACGTTTTTCGCTAATTTTCCTGCTGAAGCAAGCACTTCAGGTCTGTCAATGAATAATTTCCTGCGTGTTTACGAGGGCAGGTGTTAAGTTACGATCTCTATTTCCTTTCTCAGTGACGAGGTGTTTATTCAGGGATTCGCGTCTGAAGATTAAAACACAAAAATTTCCGTCACATTTGCTGACACCTTGGAGATAAAAAAGGGGAAAAAACCGCTAAGTGTCTCCTCTACTTGACAGCTCTAGTTGATAAGACGTCAAAAATTGGACGCCATAAAAAATAATAAATTGATCTTTAGGCAATATTCCAAAGTTCTAAAATATCCATGCATGAATCCCATGACTTTGTAGGTCAGCTGAATCACACGGGGCACATTTGCGTGTAGCTCGTTGATCAGTGACCACCGCCGCTTCCGGTCATAGTCCAAAAACCCACTCAAAATAGTTATGCTGATTTAATGAAAATTTGAACGTTTTTGTAATCCAATTCTTTAAGATATGTTCGACGTAAAGTTACAAAATAAACAAAAATAAAACATCATGTAAAGTTAATGGAATCTGAAAGCACTTGGGAAGTTCACTCGATTCTTATTTTTTTTCCTTTTTTTGTCGAGGAGAAAGGAAAGGGGTTAGATTTGATTAGCACACGTCTCGCAGGTAAGCAAGCGTTTTTCCAGCTATTTGGCATTTGTTCAAGTTACAGCTATGGTAATCAAACTAAGGGTAAAGAGCTATTCAAGTGACTCTCTACCGGCTCAAGAGGTAAAAAAAAAAAAAAAAAAAAAAAAAAAAAAAAGAATTCGATTCCAAATGTCTTCTAATCCATAACTCTTACTCGAACCTGGCAGATGCACACCACTCGTTTGGGAGTTTTTTTATATTTTATCAAAATAACACCTTTTAGCTGACAATTGAAAGTTTTTAAATTCTCATTACCTGTTTGCTGGACAACCCATTTATTATGTTGAGAGAATTTACATTGCAATCAGATTTGGGAGTAAACATGAGATACCCTTGAACTTCCAGGTCTGACCTCAGCCAACTAATAATCTTGTTTTAGTCGTAGATAATATTTCTCCAGGCTTGAACAAGTCAACAACTAACTTGTTTCATGATGCGCTTTGACTAATTTCCATATTCTATAATAATACCACGTGAATAATTTCGATTTCCATCGATCGACATTTTCGCTTCAACCGAATCTCCGATTAAGCCTCGTGAATATTGGTTCGGATCGCTTCAATAATCGCACATGGTGTGTTTCCAAGCACTTAATGGTTTTTGTACATACATATATATACATATATATATATATATATAGTAAACAATGTTGCTTTCACTTTTATACTTTTAAATTGTAGCGGTAATTGATCCGAGCGGCCTAACGGATACCTATACATCCTATTTCTACCGTTTATGGGGCCAGGAGTAAACGAAAAACGGTTCCAATTCTCGGCACCGACATAATAACAAATGAAAACCTTCAAATATGATAAAAAATTTGTTGCATTATCTTACCTTAAGATAGGAAATCGTTGAGACTTCAGACGATCAGCACAGACAATTTCGTCTCTTCTAGGTCCCTCTATGAAAAACTGTGCCCACGCAAACGGAAGTACCAGAATTTGCGGTTTTGCACCAGATCGTCTACCTAAGTGCTACTGAAGAAATGAAATTTCATACTCTGATCATGCTTACCTCTTCTATCGTTCTTAAGTTTCTCTCGGTTACTTTAGATGTCTCATGTATCCGACAACGAGGTCTATCGGCCACAATGGTAATTTTATTTTAGATATGACACCGGACAACACCTCTTCAGATTGCAATGTGATATCATATCGGCCCCCTTATTTCACTCCCACGAGATCGAAAAACAAAAGAAATGAAGTCAAGCGCACATCCTCTTGAAATCTCCTGCCAAGCTTAGCTAGATACAGAAATTCAAATTTGCACTGTTGTATTCTAAAATTGTTTGGTCTGAGTAGCTACATTTCTTTGTTTCTGTTTGTTTGCCTGTTCCGTGTCTCCCACAGACCGGAAGAAAAACTGTTATGTTATTATGACATAATAAAAAAATCTGAAATCGCTCCTTTAATTCCCATGACCAAGCTGTAAGATCTTTCGCTGTATCAGTTTTATTTGTCAGAGAGCAGAGTTTAACGGGATTCTTCCGCTTTCATTACCTCCTAATCGATCGTGAAACCTGTTGCAGAGTGGGCGCGAATGAGGTCATCTATATATATTTACTGTTTGATCCTCTGTCATTCAAATAAAATAACCTTCTTGTAAAAAAAAAAAGATTAAAGTGATTTTCCGACGCATTTATTGAGGATTAAAGCTGAACGAAATCATGATAAATAAGGAGATGTGCATAAATAAGTTACATTTGTACGGATGTGGTCGTTGGCTCAGATGAAGTCAAGTGCTGGTGAGTTAAAACTTAATAGTGCAGCCCATCTCAGTATCTCAGTTAGAAGACAAGCACGCCACGTCATGAAAGCGTAATTCTAGTCGAGATGCATATGACTATGTCAAAGTTAAGGATAAACATGATATAAAAGAGGAGCTGGCGCGTAATGAAGGAATCGAACGCAAGCTAGCGCTATTTTTCCGATTTCCGTGATATCCTATGTTCCACCAGTCTCGCCGTATGGCTAGTAAATTTTCCGCCGGATATAGTGGCCCGCATGCCATAAATACAGGCAGCGTATTTTACTCACAAAAAAGTTTGTCTGATTTTCATCGGAAATATACTTAGGCGGAAGCTAGATAAGCCAGGTCTCAAGGGCGGATGGTTTATGATTGGTTACCAAATGTGGTATACAGGCTGATATAACCGAGGCAATGTTATGCAAATCAAAAAGCGCTATCTGTGGTCAGTTCAAATTTGATGTTTATCTTATTATGATATAGCTTTAATTCGTTAAAGGGAAATCTAATAAGTGCATCGGATCGAACCGCGTGACCTTGCTCTCGCACTCGTGCAAGTGATTTGCTTGAATGCATACCCCTCTGAAACATGATTTTTAACGAGGGGGGTTGGGAGGGACACACCAGAGTCCTCTTATATTTCGGTGGTGAATGATGGGAATCAAGTCTTGTAATGTCTTCACAAATTGTTTAGCAAGTATTGTGGTTAGCGAAATTATTTGCCCTTCAACAAGTACCCAGCTATGCAATATCAAGAATCGGTGATGGGCAGAAAGGACACTGCCGAAATTGTAAATGTTCGAAGAAAGAGAAGCGTCGAGAGTTAATGTCGTAAACCGGAGGAGAATGTTTTGCCTCTGCTATGACGTCTAGTCTCGGATAAGGAGGATAAATCGTAGATTCTGTGCATGTCTCTTGCATCTTCTCTGTACTGGTCAGCAGGGGACGTTATAGAGTCTATAATCTTGTTGCAAAGAGAGTGGCACGCAGCTCCTGGAGTTGCGGCCAGGCCTTGTTATTGTGAATATAAGCGCCCATTTGAAACAGTTTTAAGCTGTACTGGGCCGAGTGGGCCACCTATCTAAATATCGAAAATAGATCAATGAATAGATAAAGTGAAGTTTTCAAGATTCACAAACCATAGGAAACGAAGTCATCAAGGGCAGACGACGGTTAGACGTCCCAAAATGCCTTTTGAAGGGCTCACTGGCACACGAGGTCCGGTGCTCTTCAACATGACATAACCAACTTGGCCCAGCTTTTCAGTAATTTGTAGCCTTATTTAATTACCTCTCAACAAAAGCATCCCTTCATTTTTCTTCTATAAATTTTCCCAACCTCTTCTCTGTTTTTCAATCAATTAACACTCGAGACCACCACGCTTCCTTTTGATAAAGATCATGCAATTCCGGCTCTAAATTTGCGGATAATTTTTCCACCCTTGGAGCAAATATTGACTCATTATACGATGACAGAGACTCTTTAAAATTACATTCCGGTTGCTTCAATACTCACAGACATTTCCGCGGTTTGAGAGCCTATCACTTTTCACCATCTGGCTAGAATTCGCTCTAGTGCTCTCAGAAAGGATCATGACATGAGGCATACACACCCTGGCGAAAATTTACCGCAACAGAGTCAGAGATACTTATTTGAAAAGAAAGAATTATGTCTCTAATGGTTTCTGCTGTTAACGTATGAGGCTAGTTAGAAATGAATCTCCAGAATTTCCTTCCTGTAGGTAACCATATGCAGGACATAAAAACGCACTATCAGAAGATGGAATTGTCCAAGTGAAATGCACAAAGAACGCCCTCTTTTACCCAAAAGATATTCAAACGACCAAGGTTATCTCAAGAGAATCGACCCCGGTACAACTTCTGCACAGAGCTACTGACGCAAGGTCAGCCACCTTTGTCTCGAATACGCAAACATTCCGGGCAGTGTTTGTGGTAAGGCTTCTTGGCCTCAATCTTGTCTCCTGGGTCGGTCTCTTCTGGTAGAGTGGCAAGTACTGTGATCTCGGTGCTACTAGTGATCTCGGTGCTACTAGTACAGGATTGATCAAACTCCGGTTAGGTACTCGAAATAAATGTTCTTTTTCAACCCTTAAAGTAAAGGACCTAATTGATTGAATTACCCCAGCGCGTTAGGCGGATTAGCGAAAGGTGTCAGTGTTCGAGTGCTTCCTGTCTAAATTAATCTGTTTTGTTTTGATGAAGATACAAATTATTTCGCGGAATACAATTAAGAATAACGAACAATTTCAAATTAAGATAATTAGAACTAATTTCATAGAACCCTTCCACGTCTTTTTTAGAATCAGTCTGATGGTGATCTCGTTACACCTAATGTAATTTCTGGGTCAAAGTTGGGTATGCAACGGTCAGAGCTGAACACAAAGATGCTTTAGCTTTTAGCTTGGAAGAATATAAAGCAACTTAAAAAACACTCTTTTTCTTTTAAAATCAAAAGGAAAAAAAAGGTCCGTCTGGAATACCCTAAAAATGACAAAGGTTTGGGAAAGAAAGGTAGCTTAGCTAACCCCAGTCTTCTCTCATTTTAGCGAGAAGCGGGAAAGTCCACAATGCACCACGATTCTCCATGGTCCTGTTCACCGCGTAAAACAAACACAATTCTGTTGTCAAACTGATTTCTAATCGCCAATCCTTGGATTACAGCTTTGCCATAACCGTGTGTTCAACATCAGATCAATGGTAGGTTATTTCAATTCTTCAGCTTCATCAACCCTCGCCCCCCTGTGATTTTCTTTCGAGGACAAAATTTGCAAACAAACGCTTGTTTGATGTGATATTGCACGAGTCTTGTGTGATCGTTTACGATCGTTAGGGAGTGTAAACACCGGGAATTACAAAATTTGAACCAGAAAAGACTTTGTATAAACTTCATGTTAAGACACTGATCCGTTGCAAAGCCTTGCGCGTCGTTATAGTTTTACATCGTCTGGAGACTCCATAACTTAACTTTCACATCGTGAAATGCTCCGTTTGAAATGGAATTCTTGTGTTGCTGCCTAGAATAAGACGCGACGGTTAAACTTCTGTCTTGAATTTGTGTTTACTTTTATGCTTTTCGTCTTATGAAACTGGAAAGCTATTACCAGTCTTTTTCTCAAGGGAATGATCAATGGCGATTTTCCTGTCGTAAGTTGCAAGCTTGCCAGATTGTGTTCATGTACTGTGGTTTACCCCATTAAGTTAAATTTCTGGATCGTGTTGCATCGAACATTTTCAATTCTTGTTTTAGCCTCATGTAAGTTTACTTGAGAACCTTCAACAGTCCTATGTTGCAATTTTTATTCCGTTTAGTACTAAAATTCCACTATCTGAGTATTTTTTTTTCGCAACGGGCAGTCTTACATCCAGGGGCTGGCTGCTTTATTGTACATTGTTCATGATCTTGTTTTAAAACGTGATCATTCATCCTCAGATCACTTACGTTAAGTTTTTTCCAGTTAGGAGTTGGGTTATACATCCTGGATATGTTTAAGTTTACAGTGATAATATATAAGTAGAACCTCTCTTTGGTGCAAAAATTATGTATGGTTATTTGTCCATGAACATTATCTGTGTCAAGATATAAACAGTTTACCAAGAGCAAAGCTTGAAGAAAGCTATGAGCTTTGAGGAACAAATAATGTCCAAGGACAAATGTTTGTACATATTTTCAGGCAAAACAGAGGCTATTGTGTTTATTATCCTTCAAATGTTTTGAAGGTATGTTTATGAACAGCTTACTGTATGCAGTGTTTGATGTTTTCTTTTGTGTGTTTTCTGGTATGACTCAATAAACAGAAAAAAGATTTCCCTTCTTCTGTAACAACCATAAAACCCTCAAAGAGCTATCCTAGTGGACATGCATGTAAGGTTTGAAAATTGGAGAATATCACTAGGGTGATTTGCTCAGATATCACCCAGTGTTAGCTGGGGGATATTTGTTCACATGCTGTGTTTAGACCAATCGCACAGGAGCAAAAATATTTGATGGATCATAAAAAGTTGTATACAGTTATGAGAAAACAGCAGTCAGACATCAGGCACATGCAAAGGAATCAATTTTGGCTCCCTGCATGCCAACCTCAAGTGCTACATTTAAAAAAAAATACATGACAAATGACTGCTGTTTAGGGAAATATGTGAAAAATGATTGAAATATTCATAGAAATCTTGATAAAGAAAACTGAGCACTTTCCAAACACAAAGCTTATTCAAGTACAGGTATCCTGTTGATTACCATTCTGTTTTGAGCTTAACCAAAAAAGTTACATTTTACTAAAACAATGTCAACTAATGGCTTGAGTGGTTGGTTGTTTGTTACTTGTGAAAGAGAACTTGATCCTGACAGCCTAAAAGCATGCTATCACCAGGTAGTCATAGCTATGTTCACTCTTGCTCAGAACATTTGATTGCTCTGTTGGTGATGAGAACTTTCCATATACAGGGTGTATGTGTATGTACCTGGATGAATAGGCTTAATAACTTTCTTTTTCATTCTACAGGCAGCATCATACAGAAAAGGGGCTCTCTCGACAGGGCAGAGGAAGAAAACAGGTTGGTTTGAACCTTATAAGAAATTTTATGTATTACTAAATGAATTTTGCCTGTAGCCAACAGACAACAAAGCCACCCAATTACGAAAAAAAAAGATTGTGAGGGGTATTTATATTCAGGGCGTGAAATTAATTTTTTTACTAGTAGCCACTTGGCTCCTAAATTTTTCAAAGTGGTAGCCAATTAAAAAAAAGTTAGTCACCATTTTTAAAGACAAATAAAACCCTTTTTTCACGCTGTTAGCATTCTAGATAGACCCTCCAAAATTAAGTTAGGAAAAAGATCTTTAACTTGCTACAAATTGGACACTAGGATGTTCAATTTAATTCACTTTATCTCTAAGTAAGGTTATGATGAAGCATTCTAGACTAATTTTCAGGATTTGGTCGCCAAAGTGAAAAATTTAGTCGCATTGGCGCCTATATTGGGCACAACTTCACGCCCTGATACTTATAACTTACCCATTGATTTTTGCATGACTATTGGCTATTTTACATCATGAGGGGCAAAATTACTGGGCAGTTATCACATGATAACCCCTGTCGTTGCTGATATATGTCCTCTGATAATTTCTGTGGATAAGAAACAAAGCCAGCCAAACCATCCTTCACCTTTATACTTGTTGGTTTCTATCAGAAATATCACTTGCTCCTAGCTCTTAATCGTTCAATTTTTTCCTGTGTAAATACCATATGGACAGACTTTCCATGAAGTATTTGGTATACACTTATTTTCCCTAATATCAACTGAAGATAATCTGGTTTTATTAATTGAGATGACATCATGAATTGGCCACCATAAAGAGTTTCTAAAGCTGATTTTTCAAGCATTAGCCCTTCGTCAGTTGATTGATTGCTAAATAAATGTGCCTGTTTAATTCAGGTCCAAAGCCAGAATTAACAGAAGAGCAGAAACAAGAGATTAGAGAAGCATTTGATTTGTTTGACACTGATGGATCTGGGACGATTGATGCAAAAGAGCTGAAGGTAAACGGTATTTAGTGTTTCTACAGAAAAGTTCTGCTAGAACCTATAGTATGTTCTTGGGTCTTGTTCCAATTTTTAACATATTACTTTAAATTGCTTAAAACAGAACAAAACTAACCAAACTAGTTTAAAAGGAAGCAATTGCTTTTAAACACTCAGATACTGCAAGTGTTTGTTTTTTGATTTGTAATGTTGTTGTAGGTTGCCATGAGAGCACTGGGTTTTGAACCAAAAAAAAGAAAATCAAGAAAATGATATCCGACATTGACAAAGATGGATCAGGTATGATAACAATTTAAAACATTCTCATTACTGACATAATAACTTACTGTTTAACTTACAGGTATGTTGCAGGTGTGTATTGTAATGGTTCCTAAAGACTTAACAATTAATATTAGCTTTAACATACGGCGATAGTTTCAAAATGAGTTTCCTCAATTTTCACATGTGCTGGTGCCATTTATATCCTTGAGTCTTAAGCTGAACAAGCTCTACCTGAAGCTATACTAAAATGATCTTTTTCATTCTCTTTCTTTAGGAACTATTGATTTTAATGAGTTTCTCCAAATGATGACAGCAAAAATGGTGAGCTTAACACACATTACTTTTTGAATGACATTTAAAAAGAGTAAACCATGGACAGTGAGTTTTTGTTTCCCTCTCTTTATTTTGTGCTGCTGCATATTCTGTGAAAGAAGGAAGATTTTTTTTTCATATAGACTGTACATTGATGAATACTGACTTTGTCAACATTATCAATGATACTACATACAATTTTTTTTTCATACCAGATGCAAGTGCAGTAACTGTACAGTATTGTAACCTTTACAATACTGTAAATTTTTTTCTTTGTTGCCGATTTTTGTTATTTCCTTTCAGAGTGAAAAAGATTCTAAAGAAGAAATTCTTAAAGCATTCAAACTCTTTGATGACGATAACACGGTAAGCATAAAACACTTACATACTGTATAAATATGTTGGATATGAAGTATCCTTGGAGATATCAGGAGTTTGAAAGACTTCCAGTAGGGTTGGGGTCTCCTTCAAAATAAAAAGGGGTACATTGTCAGGCTAAGTTTTTTAGCTATCCAGGTCTTAGATGTTTTGTATTTGGTATAGCATATGCTGAATTTGACCAAATCTAAGAGAACTTACTTAGCATTTTTTTTTTTTTTTTTTTTAACAGGGAAAAATTTCATTTAAAAACCTTAAAAGAGTTGCTAAAGAACTTGGTGAAAATTTAACTGATGAAGAATTACAGGTAGGATTCTACTGTTTATGAGCATTGTTGCACCTCCCAGGAGCAGTCCATTGGATAAAACAAATCTGTAGGGTTAAAAAATATGTTTTTTTTGTACTTATGTATTAAGCAGGACAGCTCTGTTGGGCCATGACTTCTCTGAAAAGTGTTGGGGAGGTAGAGTAGTCACTTGTGAAGCTATAAATGCAAGAGAATGTAGGTGTTTACTTTGTGGAGCAGTGAACAGATCTTTTCAAACAATTTTAAAGCATATGAAGGCAAATTGAAAAACTTTTCACCAAACTTTTTCAGTGATTGGTAAGGCAAAGGTTGGGAGAAACCTAAATATTCCTTATGCTTACCCACCTCTCCTTTTCCTTCATGCTAGGAACAGCAGAACAAAATTTTTAAGGGGTTTCAGTTTCTAAAGAGGTCCAGTCAACACCCCTTTAACTCCCCTGAGTAACCAAGACAGAATTTCTCCTTACAATATCAAATACATTATCAAGCAGATAAGTGATGGGAATAAAGAAAAATATCAATTAGGTGATTATTAGTTGATTCATCACCAAATTCTCCACACAAACATATTGAGTATTATTTGGCAGACTGTAAAGAGAATTACTAATGAGATCTTGGCAGTGAAAGGGTTCATTTGTTTTTTCTGTTTTGCAGGAAATGATTGATGAGGCTGACAGAGATGGTGATGGGGAAATTAATGAAGCTGAATTCCTTCAGATTATGAAAAAAGACAAGCTTGTATTAGACCTCAGTTCTGATGGCAGCAGATGTAAAAACAATGTTTTAAAGTGTACAGAATGTTGTCTTTCCATTCAAAGAAGTTTATCATCATCATCATCATCATCATCATATGACGCCAGTGATCTTATACATTAATTAATCAGCTAACCATTGCTCAAAAAATAATGCAGAATTTGTCAGTCTTAGTCACTTTATTTAACATTTACTATTTTTGATCAGCCCTTTGCAACAAAGTTTTCATTGATCACAATTTTAATTTATTACATTTAGAGGGAACTCTCAGTAGCTACTTAACACCAGTGATATGTACAGTTGTCCAAAAAAGATGACCAACGGCAGTAACAGCAGTGACATTTTAATCCTTCTGGTCAAGTCAGATCATCTTGAGGGAAAAACTAATTAAAATAAACTTGTTGAAAATCAATTACATCAGGATTGATCAAACTGGACCTTAGAAACTGTCTTTAACTCTTTAAATCCCAAGATCTGATTGTTAATTCTCCCCTCTAGCAGATACACATTTCCTGGTCAAATAGTAACAAGAATTTGGTGTTAGATCAAGATGACAACTTCTACCTGATCAGTTTGAGTATTCTCATTACCTGTTTGAAGGATAATGTGTGGATATTATATGAGACGTTACATGTTAATCACCTCTGGGGGTTAAAGGGTTAAGTCTCGGATACTTTGTTTCTAGAGTTTGGAAACTAGTCAATAGCTTGCCTTGCTTCCTACATCTCTGGCAAGAGCAAGGTTTTTTTTTTTTTTGGATATAGCTTTTTCCGTACCCCCCTAAATCAGTCCATTTGTAGTTAACGAGATTATAAGATATGCACGATTTTTATACCCTCTCTAAGATGTAAAAAATATATTTGGTTGATTTGGTATATAATCTCAAAAACAATTGTGACCAGGAATTTAAGTGTTTAATGTAGAGCTGTCAATTGTCTATGTGGTCAATGCATTACTGTGAGGCACAAGGCAAAAGCGCGCTTAAAAAAAAAACTCCCAAACATCGCAATTCTTTATTTTGTCTCATGCCCTCGTATTACACTTTGGGCTGTTTGTCACGCAAAACTCTTAAGATTCGGCTTTCTGAAGCTCGCTGACTTTCGAAACCAGTGTCCAATAAATTGGTATTGTTAATCGGTGTGTAACGATCGTTTGGTCTTGCACTTGTGCATGAAATGCCCTTTTCCCTTTAAATGGAACCTTCATCTCAAGCTGTCCCAGTAAAGTCATAAAACAGCGCTGTACTAATTTGCTGGTTGGCAACAGAATGCGCTAGTCAAACGGTCCACGCCCCCCTCAGGAACCATAAGTTCTGTTTACTTTACAAATGATGCGACCAGTGATCACACAGCAGGGATTAAGGTGCTGATACACTGCTCTGAATAAGTAGCAGAAGCTATGGATTGTAAATTATATGCATGCAAAATTAGAAGAAATTGGACTTTTAGAGCCGTATTTGAAAGAAGTCCGATACTTTAGAAAATGAAATTTAAACACTTAATTAAGACACTTCCTTAAGTTTCACCAAACTCGTACTCAATGAGAGACATCTGCCACAGGGCACCTAAATATCACCTAAATTTTGCTGTCAGTGCTGACAGCAATGTTAAGCTTCTTGAAGAGAAGAGATCATGAACACAGGTTTTTCACGCAAAAAATTATATACCTATGATGGGACATACCACTATGTTGCCCGGTTTCTGATTAACCTCAGAATTCAATGCACAGGAGCACCATTCCATATTGTTTGTTTTTTTTTAATTAATTGAAAGTTTGCTCATCATTCGAAAATAGTTTGCAGTTATTGTTTACATATATTCGGAAGCAATAATAGCCTACGGGCAGTCCTTGGCTTTTCAAGCCCTTCGGCACGACCGTTGCTTAGGGTTAGGGTTAGCCCTAAGCTTATTTTCGCGAATGCACTAGATCCCCGTCCGGCAAACCTCTCCCTGACCCGTCTCAAATCTTCTCGAGGCCGATAAACGCGCGTCCTGGAGCGCCATTGACGAGGGACTGGGGAAAGGTTAAGGCACTGAGTAAAGCTAAAACCATAAGGCAGAACAAGTGATCGCTCAAGTGGATGGATCACGCATTCTCTGTCCCACATCTAACGGCTTTAGTGGTTCTCCTGCGTTAGGCTCCCGCAAAGAAAGGACGCCATTGGTCCAGGTAGCGGAAGGAGTAAAACCTTTTCACTTCTAAGAGTGACCATCGAGAAATTTTTCCATACAGCATCATTTCATCTCCAAGCGGATAGTTGAATGGAAAAAAATTCATAATAATGAGGATATTTTCGGGGCTAAAGAGGTAACAAATGTCTAACAGGAAGAGTTGGAAATTGTGTGAATTAGAGAAATGAAATGAAAGGATAAAAAATCAGATGTTAGCTTTAAAATAAGTATAAAACAAGTAGATTCACGCGGAATTGATATCAGATTTTTTTTTCAAATTCCAGTAAATAAGTTATCCCACCATTCACTGCGGCACCTTAGGGCTAATTCAGAATATCTTTACACACGAGAACTTCCTGTTGTCTTCGCCATTTTTTTCAACGTAAGTAAAGTTTTATTTTTTTGTCGGTGTCGTTTCTGGTAATTTAAAGTTATCAAATAATGTTATTCAGAGCAGTTAAGCTGCTGGTTGTCCTGTGGCCGTTTTCGCAAGACCTTAATTAGCTACCCATGATTCCACCCTCGCCTGAAAACCGTATAAAAGTCCACCTGCAGAATCTGAACGTTTACCAGTTAAATCTCTGTCCGCTGGATTGTTCATGGCACTTGGAGCAAGCTTCAACGTGATAGGTAAACTTTTCTATGATTAAATTTGTGTTGTTTTTTTGGTTTAGCTCCCTCACTTAGACATGATGCGATCGATGAAAATCAATGGAATTCGAAGCATCAAAGTCGATTAATATTTACGTTTAAGGTGTTTTTCCTCATCGATGACTCGAGAGTGCCTAAAGCAACCTATATAGGTACGAAAAGAGTGATCTGATATAGATGTTTAATTTTTATAGATCTAAATTTTTGATTTATAAACAGTTTTTACTTCGATCGATCGAATGTCACAACAAGCGAAAGAAAGAATTCCATGTAGTCTCTATAAATTTGCAGCGTCTGTAATTAGTCTACAGCCTCACCTTAACTTCATTTATTTTGCAAACTTTATCGACAGCTCACTCGTGCCTTCATTGTTGTAATTCTCCAGATTTCTTTTCAAAGTTCATTATGTATAGCGTACATGCACGATTAATCAATCTGGTCGAAACGAAGCTTAAGGACTTCGTGATGAGACGAAGCTTATGATTTTTCTACTATGCAAACGAAGGGTTGAATCTAAATCGACATTTTAAATTAAAGTTTTAGGGTGGCATCAGGTATTGTAGCGTTCTGTTTTGTTGTTGCCTGTCTCAGTTTGGGTCAGGCAAACAGGACTGCTGTCATGTGTATGTGTGTGTGTGTGTGTGTGTGTGTGTGTACAATTTCAGTGATAGGTTGGGGAGGGGAGCTATTTCGAAAGGGGTGGAGGGGTGGGTTGCAGTTGGGAAAGCAAATAATTCATCAAGCAGAAATACAAAAAAAATTTAATCAAACCACTGGTGTCCCAAGTTTACTGTGTGTGATGTTGGGGTTAAGATTGAAATTTAAGCATGAGCTTGTGTCGTAAAAAAAAGAGAAAAATAGAAAAAAATTGAAGTACACTACAAGCAAGAAAACTGACATGTTAAGATCTGTTTAGCCTTCTTACTTTTATTCCGTAGCCACCTTGTCACTTCTGGACTTGTTGACTTTCCTTGTACCACATATTGTGCACTATTTAAAATTAGGAAGACTGGTCCCAAGCACCAACCCTTGCCACCCAAAGGCTGATAAATTCCACAAAATTCAACCGATCTCTCTCAAATTAGCACCAGTGAGAGCAAATTGCAAATACCTACTCAAAAAGGTTTCCAAATTCTGCTGCATCGGCTCAAGAGACTCTGTTTTTAGGATCATAATGCGAAAGTACATCTGAACAAATACATGACTCTCTAGGGGATCAATAGGACAGTTGTTGCTTTTGCCCTATTGCAAAACAACACCATTTGGGAAGTCAGTGCATGTAATTCAATGGCATATGATTTTTCTTTGTTTCTTGGTCACTTATGAGAGTTAAAGGGTGAAAGCATTAACCTTTACCTTACTTTTGATTACAGTTCTTGTATTAGCCTCATCATGGATTTCTGAACCTGTTTATGGACAGAGTAAGTTGGCAATATTTTTTTGCTATAATTGTATTACTATTAACTTACAATAAAACTTGAAATTATGTTTGTAAGATGATGATAAGAAGGGACTAGCTGTAACCTCTTAAAGAAGCAAATTCAAAGAGCACTGAATATTAATTTATCCTTTAGATAATTTCATGACCCTTTGTATTATTATTTATCAACTTTTCAAATGTTCATTGTAATTCACATTATTGTGTTTATTTCATATTAATTTCATAATTTATTTTATATTTTACATCCAGAAATCTTAAAAGCACTAAAATTGTACAGGTTATCTTGCTGAATTGAATTACTTTGCAGGTTATCAAAATGCTGCTTCATGCATCAAAAAAAAAAAAAAAAAAAGACACTGCAATCAACAGACTGTCAATAGCCATGTTATCAATGGTTAAAAACATTGTGTGACTTTTGATGATGTTTTTGCTTGTAATTCCATTTTATTTGTTATATATTTATTATAAGTGCTTTTTTAAATGAAAGATTTGTAAGATAAAAAAGGTTCAGAAAGTTGTGTCAGAAATTATTCATTGTCAGATGGATTCAGGAAATTAGATCATTTTGGTAGTTAGAGTAGCATCTCTATTTTTCAAATTAAACCTTCATCATGTGAGCAGTTTTTTGGAAGAAATAGGCTTTTACTGAGTCTAAAATGTAATCTCTTTTCATGTAGTTAGTTTGGCTGTTGTTTCCTAGATAGGTTTATGCAGCTCCTTTGTTTGATTATAGTGTAAATTTTAACAGTGACACCACATACTAATCAATTATCTTTCATTATTATGGTGGCAAAGGAAATGATTGCACCCCTAACACTGACAGAAAATCTGCAGGGTACAAAAAATAAAAATTTGGGAGTATTGCTATCTAAAAACTTGAGAGAGACTAAAATTAATGGATTTTTAGTTAGTTCTACCAGTTTGGAAAAACCAACGTTGGGAACTGTGGCTCTTGCTGTTTGGTAGTTTAAGGCATAGAAGGTGCAGTAGGTGTAGGTTGACCAGGAAAAAAACCTCTCTTTTTCTTAAATTTTTATGATGTGTTGTTGTTATTGTTGTTAGTTGTTTAATTGTTTAGTTAATTGCTTTTCATAACTCAATTTCTTTTAACTTAGGTTGTTCAGTTTCTCCACAAGATATTGATGCTACTAGGGGGTTCAGTACAACTATCACAAGTCCTGGTTATCCATCAAATTATGGCAACAACTTGGAATGTAATTGGCGCATCCAAGCTGGCAGCTTTCTTAGTGGTTATATTGTGAAGGTTACATTTAATGACTTTCAGGTCGGAGGGGGATCTCTTGGAATTTGTTTTGGTGATGAGTTGAAATTTTATGATGGTGATAGCACATTGTCCAATCTCCTTGGATCCTATTGTGGAACAGTGAATCCAGAAGTTATATATTCCTCTGGTCGCTACCTGTATATAAAGTTCTCGTCTGGTTATGGTTCTTCTTACAAGGGTTTTAGTTTAAATGTTGCAGCTGTTGCAAAAGGTAATCATTCATTATTATTTTTCGCAGTTCATTGTATT